CAGTTGTGAAAAGGACCTTAGGATTATATAGCTGAGATATTAATTTCAGGCCACGATCCCTCCAGTTGTGAAAACCCACCAGTTTAGCCAGTTCTATATATTGTGGATTGTTCCACAAGGGAGTACAGGAAAAAAAAGCCGGCAATATGAAAGGATGCTTTTATCGTATTCAAGACACGCCTTAAGAGGTTTGCGGTTGGATCCGTAGATGGAAGGACTGGTAGAGCCATCTCAAGATGAGAAAGAGACAAAATGGTGGAATCAGGAATGGAAAACAAACTTATAATAGGATCAATATTATCAGAAAATCCCAGCCAACCAGTTGCTGCAATTGGGCTGCCAGAAAATAAAGTCTAGGCTCAGGAACCGCCAGCCCCCTGACTCCTTGCCATATTGCAACATGGACAATTTTATCCTAGCCACCTGTTTTTTTCCAAATAAGACTCCTAAACTGGGTCACTATGCGATTGAAACCATTTCATAGGAATCCATATGGGAGAATTATGAAAGATATAAAGAAGTTGCGGGGCCCAATCATTTTAATTAAATTGACTCTACCCACCACCAACAGAGGGAGTTTGCACCAACTGTTACACTTCAATTTTTGCTGCTAGAGTAGAGGTAAAAGATCGAGAAAAATATACTGTTTAGGATCAGGAGAGACTACCACCCCCAAATACTTAAATGTATACACTACTTGGATGTGTTGTGCACAGACCAGGAGGGGGAGATCTACAGGATCCATGGGCATCAACACCGATTTATGCCAATTAATTTTTAAAGCCGGAAAATCTACCAAAATGTTCAATAAGGGACATAACAGCGTCTAAGGTTGTGGAAGTATCGCCAAGATATAACAGTGTGTCATCCGCATAAAGGGATATCTTTTCTGAGAGAACACCCCTTAAAATGATGATGTCCAGAGATTGTCTGTCAGGAATGGACTGGCCAGCTATGGTGGGACTCACCTGCCTTTTGATCTGCAGTACTAGGGCTGGCCAGCGGGTGTTCCCAGCAATCAGAGACTCAACTTTGCAGCCAGCTAACACCTGTAACTGATTATGCTGGGGTATTTAAGGGATGGCCAGACCCACAGACTCTGCCTTGGTGTGTGTTTGTCCTGGGCCCTGTATCTGTTTCTGTCCTGCATCCTGTTTCTGAACCGCTGCTGACTTCTCCTGCTCTGATCCCGGCTCGCTCTCCTGACCATCCCTCTGTCTGACCCTCTGTACCACGCTGCTTGCTACCTGTTCTGATCCCTGGCTTGTGACCCTGACCAATCTCCGCTTGCTCCCCCTGTACCTACCTGCCCTATTGATATTGACCCGGCCTGCCTGACGACGCTTGCTTGTATGTACTGTTATCTGTGGGTGGTTTGGTTTGGTTTGTTTGCACTGTATTATGTTTTAGTATTGCACTGCGTTTATGTTTGTATTGTTAGTGTTAATAAATTATATTGTTTATAACATATCTGAGGTCTGCGTTTCCCTGCGTCAGTCACACACCTCTGGTCACACCTGGGAGCCCTGACATTACACCAAGGCCAATCCTGACCAGAAGTGGCTGCACAGGGAAGCCATCTTGGCTTGTTGATGGGAAGGATGGATCTGGATGAGGTTGAGTATTTATCTCTGCTAGTGCTTGATGACAGAGAGTATGCTTATCAGACTCTGAAGGAGTATCCCCGGGATGAACTGCTAGAATGTATACGGCTCGCTCATGTTCTAGTAGATCAGGGCACAGATTTCTCTATGGTGGAGCCATTGATTCAGGTTTGTGTTGAGTTGGTTTCATCTGGTTCCCCCGAATGCAGGGATGAATTTTTGCCACCATTTAGTGCAGACCAGGTTGAGTCCCTGGTGTGGTTATTAGAGGATGATGTGGGTTACTTTCTGGAGCGTTATTCCACATGTTCACCACAGACACTAAGAGATTGTATAAACGCAGTGCAGTCATTGACCAGACAGGCTTTGTGTAAGCTCAGCTTTGTTCAACCCCTACTGCAGACATGGACAGACTTGTTGCACCCAGCCTCAGTCAGCTTACAAAAACCCAGTCCTGCTTCTAACTCTACTCCTGTATTCCCACCAGCTCCTCCAGTTACAGCCCAGTATACTTGGCTATCTACCGCATGTCAGTACCCTGTTCCCACTCGCTGCACCTATCCTGCCTTTAACCCTGTAAAAAAGCCCTCTGTAGCAACTGCTCCCTCTCCTGTTCCATCCTCCAGTTTTTCTCTGTCTCCAGCTGCTCCATTCGTTTGCAGACCTGCGTTTACTTGCAGTGCTCCAGTAGTTTAAAACCAGAAAAAAGCGAAAATTCTTTCCAACCAATACCATCCTGCCAGTATCCAAACCGGGTGAACCTGCCTTCCGTGACTCAGCCTGAACCCTCTACTCAGCCGGATGCCTCTCTTCAGCCGGATGCCTCTCTTCAGCCTGAAGCCTCTCTTCAGCCTGAAGCCTCTCCTCAGCCTGAAGCCTCTCCTCAGCCTGAAGCCTCTCCTCAGCCTGATGCCTCAGCCTCAGCCTGAAGCCTCTCCTCAGCCTGAAGCCTCTCCTCAGCCTAAAGCCTCTCCTCAGCCTGATGCCTGCATTCAGCCTGATGCCGCTACTCAGCATGATGAACTGATCCAGCCCGACGATCCTATTAGGCCAGTTGACTCGATGCCCGCTGTTGATCCAGATGATCCGGTACCTGATCCAGTGCCCGCTGTCGTGCCAATTGACTCAGAGCCCGCTGTCATACCTGGTGACCCGGTGCCCACTGCCTTGCCAGATGACGACTCGGTGCCCGCTGGCCGCCAGTTGACCGATGCCTGCCTGTTCCGCGCCAGACGACTCGGTGCCCGCAGTCTTGCCAGACGACTCGGTGCCCGCAGTCTTGCAAGACGACTCGGTGCCCGCAGTCCTTGCCCAGTCGTTGCCTGTTGACTCGGTGCCCGCAGTCTTGCCAGACGACTCGGTGCCCGCAGTCTTGCCAGACGACTCGGTGCCCGCAGTCTTGCCAGACGACTCGGTGCCCGCAGTCTTGCCAGACGACTTGGTGCCCGCAGTCTTGCCAGACGACTCAGTGCCCGCTGTTCCGCCAGTTGACTCGATGCCCGCAGTCTTGCCAGTTGACTCGATGCCCGCAGTCTTGCAGGCGACTCGATGCCCGCAGTCTTGCCAGACGACGACTCGATGCCCGCAGTCTTGCCAGGCGACTCGATGCCCGCAGTCTTGCCAGACGACTCGGTGCCCGCAGTCTTGCCAGATGACTCGGATGCCCGCAGTCTTGCCAGACGACTCGGTGCCCGCAGTCTTGCCAGACGACTCGGTGCCCGCAGTCTTGCCAGACGACTCGGTGGTGCCTGCTGTTCCGCCAGTTGACTCGATGCCCACAGTCTTGCCAGACGACTCGGTGCCCGCAGTCTTGCCAGACGACTCGGTGGTGCCGCAGTCTTGCCAGAGTCTTGCCGACTCGGTGCCCGCTGTCTTGCCAGACGACTCGGTGCCCGCAGTCTTGCCAGGTGACTCGATGCCCGCAGTCTTTCCGCCATTTGACTCGTGCCCGCAGTCTTGCCAGACGACTCGGTGCCCGCAGTCTTGCCAGACGACTCGGTGCCCGCAGTCTTGCCAGACGACTCGGTGCCCGCAGTCTTGCCAGACGACTCGGTGCCCGCAGTCTTGCCAGACGACTCGGTGCCCGCAGTCCCGCCAGTTGACTCGATGCCCGCTGTTCCGCCAGTTGACTCGGTGCCCGCAGTCTTGCCAGACGACTCGGTGCCCGCTGTTCCGCCAGTTGACTCGGTGCCCGCAGTCTTGCCAGACGACTCGGTGCCCGCAGTCTTGCCAGACGACTCGGTGCCCGCAGTCTTGTCTTGCCCAGACGACTCGGTGCCCGCAGTCTTGCCAGACGACTCGGTGCCCGCAGTCTTGCCAGACGACTCGGTGCCCGCAGTCTTGCCAGACGACTCGGTGCCCGCAGTCTTGCCAGACGACTCGGTGCCCGCAGTCTTGCCAGACGACTCGGTGCCCGCAGTCTTGCCAGACGACTCAGTGCCCGCTGTTCCGCCCAGTTGACTCGATGCCCGCAGTCTTGCCAGTTGACTCGATGCCCGCAGTCTTGCCAGACGACTCGATGCCCGCAGTCTTGCCAGACGACTCGATGCCCGCAGTCTTGCCAGGCGACTCGATGCCCGCAGTCTTGCCAGACGACTCGGTGCCCGCAGTCTTGCCAGATGACTCGATGCCCGCAGTCTTGCCAGACGACTCGGTGCCCGCAGTCTTGCCAGACGACTCGGTGCCCGCAGTCTTGCCAGACGACTCGGTGCCGCTGTTCCGCCAGTTGACTCGATGCCCACAGTCTTGCCAGACGACTCGGTGCCCGCAGTCTTGCCAGACGACTCGGTGCCCGCCCAGTCTTGCCAGACTCGGACTCGGTGCCCGCAGTCTTGCCAGTCGACTCGGTGCCCGCAGTCTTGCCAGGCGACTCGATGCCCGCTGCTCCGCCATTTGACTCGATGCCCGCAGTCTTGCCAGACGACTCGGTGCCCGCAGTCTTGCCAGACGACTCGGTGCCCGCAGTCTTGCCAGACGACTCGGTGCCCGCAGTCTTGCCAGACGACTCGGTGCCCGCAGCCTTGCCAGACGACTCGGTGCCCGCAGTCCCGCCAGTTGACTCGATGCCCGCTGTTCCGCCAGTTGACTCGGTGTCCGCAGCCTCTTGCCAGACGACTCGGTGCCCGCTGTTCCGCCAGTTGACTCGTGCCCGCAGTCTTGCCAGACGACTCGGTGCCCGCAGTCTTGCCAGACGACTCGGTGCCCGCAGTCTTGCCAGACGACTCGGTGCCCCCGCAGCTTGCCAGACGACTCGGTGCCCGCAGTCTTGCCAGACGACTCGGTGCCCGCTGTTCCGCCAGTTGACTCGATGCCCGCTGTTCCGCCAGTTGACTCGGTGCCCGCAGTCTTGCCAGACGACTCGGTGCCCACTGTCGTGCCTGGTGACTCGGTGCCCGCCGCTTCGTCTGGGGGCCGAGACCTGTTGCTCCGCCTGAGGGCCCGAGACCTGTCGCTCCATCTGGGGGTCCGGCGCCCGCCGCTCCGCCTGAGGGCCCGAGACCTGTAGCTCCGCCTGGGGGTCCGGCGCCCGCCGCTCCGCCTGGGGGTCCGGCGCCCCCGCCGCTCCGCCTGGGGGCCCGATGCCTGTCGCCCCGCCTGGGGGCCCGATGCCTGTCGCCCCGCCTGGGGGCCCGATGCCTGTGCCCGCCTGGGGGCCCGATGCCTGTCGCTCCGCCTGAGGGCCCGAGACCTGTAGTTCCGCCTGGGGGTCCGGCGCCCGGCGCTCCGCCTGGGGGTCCGAGGCCTGTCGCCCCGCCTGGGGGTCCGATGACTGTCGCCCCGCCTGGGGGTCCGATGCCTGTCGCCCGCCTGGGGGCCCGATGCCTGTCGCCCCCGCCTGGGGGCCCGATGCCTGTCGCCCCGCCTGGGGGCCCGATGCCTGTCGCCCCGCCTGGGGGCCCGATGCCTGTCGCCCCGCCCGCGCCTGGGGGCCCGATGCCTGTCGCCCCGCCTGGGGGCCCGATGCCTGTCGCCCGCCTGGGGGTCCGATGCCTGCTGCTTCGCCCCTGGTAGCCCGATGTGCCTCTGCCCGGAGTCCTGCCCGATGTGCCTCTGCCCGGAGTCCTGCCCGATGTGCCTCTGCCCGGAGTCCTGCCCGATGTGCCTCTGCCCGGAGTCCTGCCCGATGTGCCTCTGCCCGGAGTCCTGCCCGATGTGCCTCTGCCCGGAGTCCGGCCCGATGTGCCTCTGCCCGGAGTCCGGCCCGATGTGCCTCTGCCCGGAGTCAGGCCCGATGTGCCTCTGCCCGGAGTTCGGCCCGATGTGCCTCTGCCCGGATGTGCCTCTGCCCGATGTGCCTCTGCCCGGAGTCCAGCCCGATGTGCCTCTGCCCGGAGTCCAGCCCGGTGTGCCTCTGCCCGGTGTGCCTCTGCCCGGTGTGCCTCTGCCCGGAGTCCAGCCCGATGTGCCTCTGCCCGGAGTCCAGCCCGATGTGCCTCTGCCCGGAGTCCAGCCCGATGTGCCTCTGCCCGGAGTCCAGCCCGATGTGCCTCTGCCCGGAGTCCAGCCCGATGTGCCTCTGCCCGGAGTCCAGCCCGATGTACCGCTGCCCGGAGTCCTGCCCGGTGTGCCAGTCTTTGATATCCCGCCAGTTACCAGACCCGGGCGGTGGAACATTTTTTCCCAGCTAGGACTGTTTGGAGCCTCCTGAGGCCGCTCCTTGAGGGGGGGGTACTGTCAGAAATGGACTGGCCAGCTATGGTGGGACTCACCTGCCTTTTGATCTGCAGTACTAGGGCTGGCCAGCGGGTGTTCCCAGCAATCAGAGACTCAACTTTGCAGCCAGCTAACACCTGTAACTGATTATGCTGGGGTATTTAAGGGATGGCCAGACCCACAGACTCTGCCTTGGTGTGTGTTTGTCCTGGGCCCTGTATCCTGTTTCTGTCCTGCATCCTGTTTCTGAACCGCTGCTGACTTCTCCTGCTCTGATCCCGGCTCGCTACTGACCATCCCTCTGTCTGACCCTCTGTACCACGCTGCTTGCTACCTGTTCTGATCCCTGGCTTGTGACCCTGACCAATCTCCGCTTGCTCCCCCTGTACCTACCTGCCCTATTGATATTGACCCCCTGCCTGACGACGCTTGCTTGTATGTACTGTTATCTGTGGGTGGTTTGGTTTGGTTTGTTTGCACTGTATTATGTTTTAGTATTGCACTGCGTTTATGTTTGTATTGTTAGTGTTAATAAATTATATTGTTTATAACATATCTGAGGTCTGCGTTTCCCTGCGTCAGTCACACACCTCTGGTCACACCTGGGAGCCCTGACATGTGTCGCACCAAAATCGCCAAGGTTCTAACGCTAAAGTGAACAAAAGAGGCGAGAGAGGGCAGCCCTGCCTTGTCCCGCTCTGCAACCTGAATGAATCTGACAAATCCCCTTTAACCTGGATTCGGGCACTGGGGGGCCACATAGAGAAGACGCATCCAACTAATGTACTTGGAACCAAAGCCAAATCTAGACAATACTTCCTAAAGATAAGGCATACTGTTTATTTTTTACAGAGTTTAACAAGTTTGATGGAATTGGAAATCAGACAAATGATCACAGAAATTAACTATAACCTGCATTCTAAAATACAGCTACAAAGTTAGAAGCAATAATGCAAAAGAGGTTCAGGATGACGAAAAGCATGCATGCATTGCTGAAAAATACAAAACAGATTATGAAAGCTGCACAAACATGGACTCTACATAGCAATGTCTCTGTGGCTCGTTCAGAGTAACATGTGGCTTCATATGATAGTGCTGTATCCTCTGCACCATTCATCTGATGGCTGGACATTCCCCAGCCGAAAGTTAAATGTAAATAGGGATACGGATGATGCCATTACCCAATATGGGCAATACCTGTTCTTGGGGAATGACTTGTCACTGGGTGGGTGGAGCCTGATAGGAAACTGAGAGACTAGTTCTCTGCAGGTCTACTTTATGTTTGATTGACAGCACACAGAGGGCAGAATAAATCCACCCACTGTCAGTCAAAAATAAGCAGACCTGAAGGAAACTAGACTCTCAGTTTCCCATCAGAAACCACCCACCCATGTACGACACTCCTCTGCAATGTGCCCATCTTTGTGACAGGTGCAGTGGCTTGGGAGGGATGGCAGGAATAATAGCACTGAGGCAGGAGTGTCCAGTGCAGACGCAGACAGATTCATGAATTGAACGCAAGCACTGACACATTTGGTGCTGTGCTCCAACAAAATTCTAAAGGGTATCAGGTATCTAGAGTCTAGCCTGAGAGTCACTACTCACCAAAAAGAACACAAACAGCTATTTGCAACACAGGTAAAACACACATTTTTCAAACCTGAACTATAAAACGGACAACTGAACATGAATTGCTTGCTATGGACAAAAAAGAAATGTTACCTGTAGCACACTTTCTGCATTACACATTCACAGACCTTTGTATTCACCCCATAATACTGTTAATAATAGATGAATAGAATAATTATTAATGTTAGTAATAGAGTATTTGCAATTCTCACCTTTTATTCCCACGGTTGAAATGTTATTTTTGAAAAACCGTTGCTGCAAAAATTCAAGCAACTCCGGTAAGGTCACATTTACTGGTCAGCTTGGTCTGCATAAAAATATCTGTAAATTGTAAGTACATTGGTAAATATGATTATATTAATCAAGCAAAACTCCGGACAAAGCATTTTTGTAGCTTTGAATAGACTGGATTAGTACCTTTTTGTTTTTTTGTTACTGTCCGGTTTCTGCTATGTACAGTATATCCACTATTCTTTGCTCAAGTATGTGCAGTTGGTGTGTGACCTCAATGGTTAAACCCAGCATTCAGTTACTCATTCACATCTATGAGTAAGGTTTGTTTGACTGAAACGCATTAGTATTGCTTATCTCCTGGAATGCCTTTTACTCTGCATTCAAATAAACTCTCTACAGTTCATTCTCACCTTGTTGCCGATCCTATATGATTGATTCATTGGTTTCAGTGGATAGAGACCGCAGGAGTCGCATGGTGAGATTTATACTCCTTCTGGAATATGTTATGAGGGTTGTAGCACCTATTATTTGCATGTGTGACTCCTTCACATCTACCTACACGTTAGGGACTAGTACATTCACTATATAAGTCCCAGTGTCCCACACCAGTCCCACAGCCCCTGATCATGCCACAACAGTCATAGTGCCACCTATGACACACCAGTAATGGTGTCACCTAGGACTTACTCACACGTACAATGCTCTCTTAAAAGCCATCCATGTTTGGATTGCTCTTCATTTGACAGGCAGTGATAAAGTGCTGTATTGCCTCCTCACTGCCTACTTTAACCCCTTGGGTCCCGTACTAGCACCCCTATTCACAATTGGTCATGATCAGTTGGCATACAGGGGGTAGAGTTCCTTGCACAGCTGCAAGCATTGCTGTCACAGCATGTGTACACTCTCAGCCACTGCCTCTTCAGTTAAAGGGGTAGCAGCTGAGGGGCAGTAAAACCACAGCTCAGGTGTGAGATTTTACCACTCTCAACCTCATGTGTGAATGAGTCCTAATAGTGCAGTCAGTCACCGTTCTCTGATCACCAGCACACCAATTGCCACTACGCCAGACCAGTGCAGCAAGCAACAGTTTTCTTGATCACACCACACCAATCCCACTGTCACCAGATCAGTGTATGCCAGCAACAATGTCCCTTGTCACCATCACACCAGTTACAGTGAAAACACACCAGTGTAAGCAGACAGCCGTGTCCCTAATTGTTTAATTGCAACATTTATAGCATAAATCAAGAAACACGGGGGGGGGGGGGGTTAAAACGTTTCTGTCTTTTTTCATTTGTATAGCAAAAATAAACCCAGTGGTGATTATATTCCAGCTAAAGAAAGCGCTATCTTTCACAAAACATTAGAAACATTTCATTTGGGTACAGTATTGAATGACTGAGTAATTGTCATTCAAAGTACAACAGAACAGAAATCTGAAAATAACACCTGTACAGTGCAGCCAATCACAGTGTGGCAAGGTCAGGAACCCCGCCTACCGGCCTTTGGGCATTACTGCTCACTGACTTTCAGTGGGTTGAATGAAAAAAAAAGAAAACCTCATAGACCCATGCATCCACACAAAACGATGTGGATGCAGGGATCTCCCCTGCTGCGTTATTGTATTCTGACAGCTGGAATTCCCCCAAATCCGAATACACTCAGCCATTAGCTGCTGCAGTTGATTGATACTGGATTTCCAGCAGGGCCATTCTACAGAACTTTAGTTTCTGTACGGATAAACATATGTACTATTGTAATAGACGTAAAAGCTGCAGATCTGAGCTTCATTTGGATGAAAAACTAGTCCACCATGATGTCACATCATGTAAAGATTCTTGGCGTTTGAAATAGTATCCTGCTTGTCAGACCCAGCATGGGGAAATCTGGATGTAAAGGTGAAAAGCAATACTAATTGTGCTGATACAGAACAATCAAGCATCAGCAAAACTAGAATTGCTTTTTACATTTGCATCCTGCTTTCCAAATTTATTCACTGGTGCTCACGTGACCCATTCTGCTGGATTGGATGTGCAGGATGCTATTTTGTCTACCAAGTATCATTATATGTTTAACAATGTTTCTTTCTAAGACTTGAAGCTTTTCATTCATAACCACCAGCGAGTGCAAATCTATGATATTTCTTCAATTCCCTGGGATAATTAGGAGCATCGTTTTTGAGCAAACTGCAGCTGCCTGTACTGTATTATTTATGATTTGACCCTCTAAGCTCTGCATCAGTTATTACTATATTAGCTGCAGATGTTCATTTACACATTGGAAAAAATTGTTTCTATTTTTCTTTCTAAACAACTTTGAACTTAAAGCT